AGCGTCGGTCCAAGTGAAGAAGACGTTTATTTTCCAGTTGAGACAGATATCAAAGATGGTGCCACTTTTTGTATTGCAGGTTCAAGTTTAACCGCCATTTTTGTTGGCGCACAACCGCCACCAAACACGCCAAACATGACTGTTTCCCATTCAGGAGAACCGACAGATTCATCTCTCGTCGATCCAAAAGACGAACTCATCAAATCACTGAATCAGGAAGTTGCGAATCTGAAGAAGAAGATTGTATTGCTTGAAATGCCCGAATCAAAAAGTGGCACTGGTGATCCATTCAACATCATCGACACAGAAACGTTCCACAGTCTGCGAATCATCCGAAAGATCAGTTCAGGCGGGAGCGGCGAAGTTGTTGAAGTTGGCAAAGAAGAAAAGTTTGCACTTAAAATGATGCACGTTGGATCGACCAACTACAAGACGTGGAAGCAGTATCTTAGGGAACACGAGAGGCTGAACATGCTTCGTCATCCGAACATTGTCAACACGTATGGAATTTACCTCGGAGACGAAACGACACCGATCTCGATTCTCCTTGAGCTTTGTCCAGAAGACATGAACTCGGCGATCAATAATGGAAGCATAAGCAAAGAATGCGTTGTGAAGTATGTCTATGAAATTTGTGAAGGCATGAAATTTGCGCACTTTTGCGGAATTATTCATCGAGACCTGAAGCCTTCGAACATCCTGATTGACAAACATGGCAACATCAAGATCAGCGATTTCGGCATTTCGAAGTTGATGACTACAGAAGAACAATGCACGACGATGGGAGGAGACACACAAAAGTTCATGGCGCCGGAAATCTTGAATGAAGAACAGTACGATGAAAAGGTTGATGTTTACGCATTCGGCGTGATCTTGTTCTTCATGATCAGTGGTGGTGAGATGCCCAATATAACGATCATCCAGATGGGAACTGGTATGAAGGCAGCAATTCCGTCATCATTCACACCATTTTCGAAAGCACTAATCAGCAAGTGCTGTGAAATTGATCCAAAGAAACGTCCAAGCTTTTCAGAAATCTTAGAAGAACTTGAAAGGAACAAATATGGACTTTTTGAATTAAGTGAAACCGAAGTTCGAAAAATTCGTAATTTCGTTGAAGAACACAAAAAACGAATTCCTGACTACTAAACTAATTATGGCGATCTAAATAACAACTTACTAACTTACTTAATTTTATATATATATATATATGTATATATATAAAAAGCAATTTTTATTTTATTTAATATAATAAGAGATATTGTTATGATAAGTTTCTTTTATTTTGGTATTATATGGTATCCTATACTTTTAAAATATCTTTGGATTTTATAACAGTAAATATAATAATAATAATGAGGCTTTTTTTGCATTTTTATTCAGCTTTTATATATTTAAAAAAAAAATAATGTTTAAATTGTCGTATCAGGAGTTCCATCTTGGTTCAACTGAGTCAAAATTTGTGCTTTATCAGAGTCTCCTTCCTTGTAGTGCTTCTTCAGGTACAAAGAGACACACACGGCGACAATCAGAATGATTGCTGCAGATCCAAATGCGCAAATCAAAGCGATCATTCTTTTCTTCTTCTTTCCTTCATCGTTACCACCACCGTCATCACCGCCACTTTCATCGCTGCTTGTTGTTGGACTCTCGCTTTCATCCTCCTCGCCGCTGCTGAGCCTGCAATGGACCTCGACTTTCCCATTTTTGCAGAGTGCAGAAAACTTGACAGTCTCGTCATCATTTTTTGGCTCGAAAGACACAACATCAGCAAACTTTTTGCATTGAAAATCATCGTCCTGATTCTCAACAGCCAGCAAAGTCAGCAACCTGACAGGCTCCTCTTCTTTTGAATGGAACAAAGAGCTGTTATAATTTTCAAAACTGACTTTTATTGATTTTATTGAATTTTTGATCGAACTTGTATCAAAATTCAATAAAGGCCAATTTGAAGGTGAATTTTGTAAAGCGTATAAATCATCGCTGATTTTCACATTGATTCGCGATTCGCCAAAGTTCGATGGACGGTTGCCTGCTGGATTGGAAACAATGCTCACAGATGATCGCGCACCTTCAATGTAAACGTCTCCATTACTTTTCACGCCTTCAAGTTTGGCAAAACCGTTTTTTTCAATTGAAATTTGTGGGAACGAAAAGTGCTCGCTATCGGAGACTAGATTTGAATTGTCACTCAGAAAAACTTTGTCAAAAATAACGTGATTCTTTTTATGATTGAGAAGACGATCAGTTTGATCTGAAAAAGTGGAAAGAGTTAATTTTGACTTCTTTTTAACTTCTAAAAGTGATGTGAAGTCAATTTCACCAATTTCTGCAGAATTTCCGATATCAATTTGAATCAGCTTCAGTTTTGAGCCAAATTTAAATGGAATAACTGATGAATACGTTAAAAATCTGACGTATTCAGAATCTATTTTGATATCATTAACTTCGTTGCTGTCGCTGAATGATTTGTCGACGATTAAAAAAAAGTTATTGCGGAAAAAGTTGGAGTAGTGAAGTGGAATGGTTAATGGAGAAGGTTTATCATGCTCTTTGATCAGTGTGATGTTCGATTCGTTGAACTTGAAGTGATAATCATTTTCATTGTAATCTTTGGAATCGACTTCGAAGATATTGTTGTTGTCAGTCAGGAATACGAATCTGTTATTAGCAAACTTGATTTTTTGTAAAATGTTACCGAAAATGCTGTTGCTTTGATAAATATTGCTTGTATGTTGCGTTTGAGCAAAAGAAAATGATAATAATATTAAAAGATAAAGTTGATTCATAATAAAAATATAAAAAAATTTTTCTTATCAATATTCTGAATAATATACTGCTCTAAATCAACTTTTTAAAGCACTTTATTGAATTTATTTGAATGGTTTTTATCAATAATTTTGAATTATTATTTTAATATCTTTCAAATTTTTTTTCCATCATAATTCACTAAAAAGAGTCTAATATCTGAATTATTTAAGTCTGGATAAAACAATTCTGAAGAAAAATATTAAAATAAAAAATAATTGAGTCAAATTTGAAATATCATAAATCTTCTTTATTTTTTGAGATAATATTCATCCAATAATGCTAAAATTATATCATATATTATAAACTAAGTATCATAAATAATTTTCTGAGATATGAAACAATTTTAAAATGTGAAGTAAAAAGTATGGAGATTTTATTATATAAAAATTTTCATATTTTCATTCTAATTTATGCTTATAAAATAATTTAACTGATAAAACTATCAACTAATTTCGGATATATTAGTTGTAATACGTTGACTTATATGTTTTGTGAGCATTTTCAAAGAGGAAAACCACCTTTGTTTATTTAAAAAATTGACAAATCCGAAATGAATCAAACAAACTTATATCCCAGCCAATGAAATTTTTATGATAGGAAATTTTATCTTTTTTGATTTTATTTTTCATTTTTTAAGGCCAAATTGCAGCATTTCTTAAAAATCTAATTAAAGAGGAATTGGCAAATACAATTCATGATATTTGTATGAAGTAAATAACGTAATAAGCATTTTTATTTGCGACACGCCATATTATTATGAACAGTTGTCTCAACTTAGTAATTTTTCCCAATTGTCTTTTCAAAAAGTTTGGAAAATTTTTTTCATTAGAATGACACATGAAATAGTGAGCATTCATGTTGGCCATTGTGGAAATAGAATTGGATCTTCTTTTTGGGATATGGTTAATAAGGAGCATAGTATTAATCAAAGTTTTTTATATAATAAATATGATTTTGATTATCAATTGAAAAATATTGAAGTTTATTATAATGAAACTATGTTTTGCAACTTTATTCCTAGAGCAATTTTTATAGATTCAGATGAAGAATCGATGAACAGTTTGAAAAAAAAAGCATTTTTTGATTCATCAAATATAATTTATGCAGACCCAAAAATCTACAATAATTGGGCTGCAGGTTTTTATCCAGAAGATCGAAATTTAATAGAAACAATCAAAGAAATAATTCGTAAAGAAACAGAATTATGCGATATGCTTTCAGGTTTTCATCTCTTTCATTCACTCGGAGGAGGAATAGGATCAGGTCTTGGATGTTTAATATTGAAAGAGCTTCGTGATGAATATCCTGAACAAGTACTTTCAACTTTTTCAATATTTCCTTCTAAAAAAATTGATGATAGCAATTATAGCAGGCATCTATACAATTGCATTCTTTCACTGAATCAATTGAATCAAACAGCAGATGAAATTTTCTACTTTGATAATGAAGAACTATATGATATATGTTTTCATAAACTAAAAATATATACTCCTGCCTTTTACGATTTGAACTATCCAGCATTGTGTTGCATGTCTAGTATCACTTCTTCACTAAGATATCCTGATCAATTGAATTCTGATTTAAGAAAGATATACAATAATATTATTCCATTTCCACGTCTTAAATTTATAAAATCAACATATTTTCCATACCACTCACGTGGTGAATGCTGCTCTCTTCTTGAAATTGGTGTGTTGTCATCATTTTTTTCTGAAAAAAATGAAAATGATCGTTTGTGTTCATATATTAATTTAAACGGTCGTTTCAGAACAGATGAAGTGAATAAACTGATAGATATTGCTAAATCAAAAGAAATTACTGATCTAAAAGTTTCATTGTACAAAACAAGAATTGGTTCTTCTAGATCGGCAACCTTGATTGAAAATTCGACTAATATCAATTCATTGTTGGAACGTCAAAAAAAAGATTTTTTATATCTTTATAAAAAACGATTATATACTCAATATTATATAAATGAAGGTCTTGATGATGAGGAGTTTGAAAATGCTAACTTGGCTGTCACTGATCTTATTCAAGATTATGAAGATTTTTGTCACTCAAATGAAGAAGAAGAGTATTATATGTAAACGATATAATAAATCTCAAATTTGGCTGAAAAATATTTATTTATATATTTTACACTATTTCTCAGAAATGTTTAAAAAAAAATTGCCAACAAATGCAAAAAACTGGTCAGCCGGGGATCGAACCCGAGCCTTAAGAGGGACAGTCTCATATGCTACCATTACACTACCGACCATTGCATTAGAATAGGGACAAACTATTTTGATAACATAAAAAATTCTAGATTTAATCATAAATCATATATGAAAAATTCAATTACTAAATGTTATACACTGAAATTAATTCATTGTTGGAACATCAAAAAAAAGGTTTTTTAAATCTTTATAAAAAAAAAAAAAACGATTATACTCAATATTATATAAATGAAGGTCTTGATGATGAGGAGTTTGAAGATGCCATATTGGATGTCACTAATCTCATTCACAATTATGAAGATTTTTGTCACTCAAATGAAGAAGAAGAAGAAAAATACCTATGTAAATGATATAATAAATTAAAAATTTGGCTGAAAAACATTTACAGCACTAAACTTCCCAAGTTTATCATTTTTTAATAAATTATTTGCAAATAATTTTGCATTAATTAGAATCAAATTAAAAATAAATTTTATAATATAAAATATATGATTAAATCTAGGATTTTTAATGTTATCAAAATAGTTTGTCCCTATTCTAATGCAATGGTCGGTAGTGTAATGGTAGCATATGAGACTGTCCCTCTTAAGGCTCGGGTTCGATCCCCGGCTGACCAGTTTTTTGCATTTATTGACAATTTTTTAAATCATTTTAGCTCTTTTTAATCCAAAACGTTTATTGATAGGTGTAAAATCATCATCAAAACTAACTGAAAAGAAAAGTAATCTTTTAATAAATTAAATTACTAAATATAATACACTATTTCCCTGAACTATTTAAATAATAAGATATGCTTAAGATTTTCTGAGATCAACTTTCCTAGATATACAGTATTCTTAATTGCTTTTTGAAAATTTATGGTCATTGTTTGTTTTAAGTAAAAATTTTTAAAGCAGTGTTTATATTGATATGGTAAATGAAACGTAAATTTAGTTTTGGAAAAATCAATTTTTACTGTAAATTTAGCTAGAGCTTGATCCATGCTTTCCATGCTTATGCTTTTTGTGTCCTGAGCCAGATCCAGATCCATGTTTCTTATGTTTCTTATGACCAGATCCAGAATCGGAGCTTGAGCTTGAGCTTGATCCTGATCCATGCTTACCATGCTTGCCACCATGTGGTCCGCCATGTCCATGGTGTCCGGGTCCGCCGTGTGGTCCTTGACCTGGTCCACCTGGATATCCTTGTGGTGGTGGGCCTCCTTGATATCCTGGTGGTGGTGGGCCTCCTTGATATCCTTGTGGGGGAGGTCCTCCTTGATATCCTTGTGGGGGAGGTCCTCCTTGATATCCTGGTGGCATCTGTCCTCCCTGAGGTGGTTGACCTTGATATCCTGGTGGTATTTGACCTTGATATCCTGGTGGCATTTGACCTTGATATCCTGGTGGAGGTTGTCCTTGATATCCTGACATTAAAACATTTATATCATCGTCTTTATAATTTTTATTCGAAAATTTTAAATTAATTTTATCTTGATAAAATCCAAATATCATTGAAATATTTGTAGTAAACAGGCTTAAAAAATACTTAACTTTATTAAATATATTTTTTTTTTAAGTAAAAAGTAATTTTTAAATATAAAATCATTAAATTATGTTTTTGAACTATTAATTCAAATTTGAGACTTTATAAATTGTACTTTTGATATAAATTGAAAAGACTAACGAGAAAAGAGATAATCGAGTTCTCAAAAAATTGAAAGAATTTCCTTTTCAAAAAAAACTACTTTTCTATACCACTTTTTCAGAATTTCGAACATTTTTATATATTATATTTATTTTTTATGAACCCAAGAGTGTTTGGTAATATGAATTTCTGAAAAGAATTAAAAACAGATATTGATATTCCCTAGTTAACATCATCGTCAACTTCAATATTATTTACATATTTGAATATTTTGTACATTTGGAAAAATATATCTTTTTGTTTTTGTTTTTAATTGTTATCTATGAGATTATTTTTCATACATGTCCATCAACAACAATCACACTTTTTCATTTTCCATTTTATCATGATAATAAATATTGTAATCAATTAACCATTTAGATCTCTCACCAAATAAACACCAAAAAATAACTTTTTAAATTGAAACCATATTAAACATTTTAAAATAACTAGTCATTATTTTTTTACATCACAAATACTATAAACGTCTTTTCATAAAATAACGATTTTTTGAGTTGTAAAGTCGAATTCAAAAAGATTGGGACAACTTCTCAATTAAATTCTGATAAAAGTGAAAAACACAATCTTCTTTTCAATTAATTTTTTTTCTTTATTTATTGAGTTATATTTACTAAATTTCCAATCAATAATGAAAAAATGTTTCCAATACGAGCCAAAACATATATTACTGAACTTTCAATTTACAGCACAATACTTAAAAATCGATGATCATCAACTATTATGTAAATTTATGATCAAAATATAGTATTTGAGCAAGTGTTTACAAAAGAAATTCTATTTTAATGTCATTGCAGGCTTTGCAATGCGTTTTCTAGCGAATTTGTGCAAAGATCTATGATAATTTTCACCAAAGATTAGGTAAATTGTATTTTTTTGAGGATTTTTTCCTTACAAAATATAGATTAATGATAGATACAACATTAACCATATGCAAAAATATATGTTTTTATATAAAAATGATTCTTTTTTTCTTTGTTTTTTTATTATTTTCCCCTTTTTCCCCTTTAGCAATTCAATTTTTTTCAATATATCTCACAAAAAAAATCATTCATGCTGGGACAAAATTGAATACTTTTCAGTATATATTTAAAAAGTTTGTCCCAAGCTTTTTGAATTCGACTTTAGTATTAATGAAACTTTTTGAATTAGAATAAATTTTGGAAATTCCTCGGAGCACTTTTTGAGAGCGAAGCTCTCAAAAAGTGCGGAGAGGAATGTGCAAATCTCTCAAATGTGTCCACTTTTTGAACGTTCCTTTTAAAATTTCTCCAAAAATTCCTTTTTGGTCGGATACCCTCAAAAAGTTAAAAAATTGAATCAATCCTGATCTGAAAAATGACTTTTTCAATAAAAATCTTGAACCATTTATTTATTTTCAAAAATTTAAAGCTATGTTTGGACGAAATTACAATGCACTTCCAAATACAAATCCTGTATTTCAACATCCTCAAAATAATGGAATTGGCGTTTCTACTTATTCAAATCAGCCAACCAATTTTTTTAATTTTCAATTCCAAAATCAAACGATTAATAATAATTTTCCTATACACCAACCGCAATTTCCTTTTCAGCAACCGACTTTTCAGCAACCGCATTTTCAGCAACCGCCAAATTTCAACCAGAATAATGCAACTCCAGACTTTAACCATTATTTGCAAGAATCAAACGATTTCTCAGAAAAATCAATTGCAACGAGCTCTAAAACAAAATATGAAAGCAATATGCGAGTATATGAAACAGTTATGCATATTTTTCAACAACCACCTTATCCTATTAATATCGATAAGATGAAAGTGTTCTTAACGTATAAAGCTAAAAATGACATGACTATTAATACACTAAAAGCATATATAACTAGCTTATCTCACTATTTTAGAAGCAACAATTTAGAAAATCTTACATTAACTAATGAATTTAAAAAATTTAAAAACGGTTTAAGCAGATCGTTTCGCGAAAACTCATCACCTTTTCAAAAACTTGGATTTAAGCCAGAATTTTTTTTAAAATTTATGGAAATGAATGATATGAATAACATTGAAAATGTTCGTATGATGTTTTATATGTCGTTATCATTTTTTGGGTTTTTAAGAATTTCAGAATTACTTAATTTAAAAAAAAAAGATATAATTTACGACTCAGAAAAAAACAAATTAATACTAAATATACGTTATTCAAAAACCGATCAAAACGGTCAAGGTTTTACTACATATTTATACAATAATAATAATAAATCTTATCACCCTCTTAAATTTATCGGATTTCTTTCAAATATAAATAATGATGATTATATAGTTCATTTAAAAGAAGATATATTAAGAAAAAGACTTCATGATATATTAATACAACTTAATTTAGATCCTCAACTGTATTCTTGGCACTCATTTCGGAGGGGAGGTGCAACGATTGCATCACAGAATCACATTGATCCTGCTGTGATAAAAACACACGGAAGGTGGCAAAGTGAGGCCTATTTATTGTATGTTGATCGAGATCAAGATCAAGCAGGTCTCCAAATCAGTGATATCTTATAAATTTAATAAAAATTTTAATTTTTTTATAATTTTATCTTTTTTAATTCAATTTTTTAACTTTTTGAGGGTATCCGACCAAAAGGAATTTTTGGAGAAATTTAAAGGAACAAAGTTCAAAAAGTGGACCATTTGAGAGATTTTTTAATTTTTTGAAGAATCAAAAATAATATTATTTAATTTGAAAAAAACATTTTACTAATTTTATCTTTTAATTTTTAAATAATTTAAAACATTTTTAATATAAAAAAATAATTGTAGATCAAGATAAAAATAAAAAACTAATATCGAGAAAATGACGTATTTTCAATTGTAATTAAGGGGGTTTGATCACTTTTTTCTATTAAAATATCTCAAAGAAAAAGAAATATTAACTAAAACAAATAGTATAATTTAAAACTACAAAATAATATATAAATGAGAAAATGAATAAGAATTTTAAAAAAAAAAGTAAATCATGTTATTGCATCATAATTTATTCGATATAATTTGGCATGTTTTATTGAATAATTTCATTAAGTAAATACTAAAAATAATTTTTATTGCAATAATTAAAAAAATCAAGTTCATATTAGGTACTAATGAAATATCTGTTTAAATTAACTTATTGATCAGCATATGCATACATAAAATAAATTTAAAATTATCCTATCAGCTTTTGACAAAGGGTTTTAAGGTTTAAAGATCAATTTTACGTAATGAAGATTATAAGGCTAAAAAAAGTATAAAAAAAGAAGAAAGATGAAATTATAATTAGTATCAACAATATTAAATGTATATTGCACTAATAAATTCTTTAAAAATAATAAAACGAATGAGCTATTGAT